ACTATCTGCCTTCTCTTATAGATGCTATCTCGTCTTGAGCATCTTTCTACAATGGAAAGGTTGGCAAATGTACGGCGTTCCAAAATTAAGGTGATTATACATAATTTTAATTATTTTTTTCCATCATCATTATCATCATCATAAATCATAATCATCATTACTACGAGTTTACAACTACAGTTATATTGCTTGTTCTGTTATTGCTTGATATACTGCAATGCAGGATATGAGTGCTGAGGTGGTTGATAGCAACCCTTACAGTAGACTTATGGCACTTCAAAGGATGGGAATCGTGGATAACTATGAAAGAATTCGGGAATTTTCAGTTGCCATAGTGGTCTGTATATCATTCTCTACGAGAAGCTCTTCTTTTAAGTTATTGATCCTGTGATAAGACACTTGGACATGCTTAATGATAGGCAACTGTTCCGAAAGTGCTGTTCTAGTCAATCAATTGTTTAGTACGTGCAATTGTGCTCATGTATTATAGTTCTGTTTGCAGGGTATAGGTGGTGTCGGTAGTGTTGCTGCTGAGATGCTCACGAGGTGTGGCATAGGTCGACTTCTGTTGTATGACTATGATAAAGTGGAGTTAGCTAACATGAATAGGCTTTTTTTCCGCCCAGAGCAGGTAGGTTGGTTAGGCCCTGATTGCATACAAATTATCTGGTCACTTTTGACAATATAATTTTTGTAAATCAAAATGTAACTCAAATTTAACTCAACCCAATCCCCCTCACCAATCAAAGATCCTCACACATCACATCAATTTTATCTACTCTTAATAACTTAAATCCAATCACCCCCTTAGTGTTTACTATCGAAATGCAACCATACTTTCAAAATATGATGCCATCGTGAACTTAAGCTTGTCTTGTGTTACTATTAATCTTATGAGATTCACATGTCCTTTCAAGGCTGGCATGACTAAGACGGATGCTGCTGTCCAAACTCTCTCGGACATAAACCCTGATGTTGTTCTAGAGGTAAATCAGTATCAATCATAAATTTTGCTCTTTTCAACCTTTTCTTGGTATTCATTATTGTATAAATTAAGTAATGGTGTTATCCTTGTCTTCAGTTGTGTTGATTATTTGATTTTGTTTCTCAGAGCTATACATTGAATATCACAACAGTGCAAGGTTTTGAAACCTTCATGTCAAGTCTGAAAAATAAATCATTTCGTCCAGATAAAGAAGGTCTTGGAGTTGATCTTGTTTTGAGCTGTGTAGATAATTATGAAGCAAGGATGGTGGTAAATCAGGTTAGAGCAAACTTCTTATTGTCAAAAAACCTTCATATTTTGTTATACATATATAGATCAGAATGATATTGGAGACATTAAATGTGCTATTTTCTTCTGCCATAATCTGATAATTGATTTTATGTGCAGGCCTGCAATGAGTTGAGTCAAACATGGATGGAGTCTGGTAATAATACACCATTGTTCATGCTAATTTTTTTTTTTAGCAAAGATGGTTTTATTTGATTTTGTGTAACAATTTCCTTATCCAAAACCAAAACGTTACATTATCGGGGATTTTAATGAGATGATTGTCATTTTTTTTTCAGGCGTATCTGAGAACGCAGTTTCTGGTCATATACAATTGCTGGTTCCAGGCGAAACTGCATGTTTTGCATGTGCACCTCCGTTGGTATATTTTTACTATTTTAGAAATTGTCGCATTCAAATTTGAGTTTTTATAATCTTTACGCAAATGATATAAGAACATTTTCAGATTTGTGGTCAATTTATATTTTATTTTTATTAATTTCTGTCTACAGTTTGTAGTTTGTACTAGTATTGCATGCTTATGACTTGACTATCGAGATTATCTCTTTTAGGTTGTGGCATCAGGAATTGATGAACGTACACTGAAGCGCGAAGGGGTTTGTGCAGCATCTTTGCCTACCACAATGGTATTCATTTATCTCGTCAAAACCACATTTTACTTCTTTATTGGCTAACCTTCTTGCTAATTTTTATTCATATCAAATTCGACCTTCAGGGAGTTGTTGCCGGGCTTCTTGTTCAAAATTGTCTTAAATACTTGCTGAACTTTGGAAGCGTCACACCTTATTTGGCAAGTCTTGATAATAGCTATTTTCCTTCCCTCTCTCTCTCTCTCTCTCACACACCCACCCACACTTAAAATGCATTATTTTATGTTCTTGTTGGTTCCTATAGTGTGACAGTTTTTTGTTTATTTAGGGTTACAATGCCCTCAAAGACTTCTTTCCAACAATGGAAATGAAGCCAAACCCACAATGTTCTAATGCGGCCTGTTTGGAGAGACAGGTGAACTAGCTTGATAGATCTTTCGAGTAAATTTTAAATATGTATTTTTTTTTTACCGCCCTTTAAAAAAAAAAAAAAAAAGAAAGAAAGAAAAAGACAAAAAATGTTTCCACTTGTGCAGAAAGAATACGTTCTTGCAAAACCAGACAGGGATGCCGCTACCAAAGCGAAAATGGAGGCTAAAGAAATAGTAGAACCTAGGGCCCTCCATGCAGATAACGAATGGAATATAAGGTGAGAGCAAACTCGACTTTTATCGATCCATTATTTTAGGTTCGTTTGTTTATATTTGGTGGGCTATTAATCATTTACATATACATCCGTAGCTATTAGCTATTAGAGTTTTTTGTAGGTCAGCCTTTTCTGGTCTGTATGGAGTTTAATAGCTCTATTAGCTATTATTAGTCTTTTACATAAATGACTTGTTATCATTTTCTTTATTGTGATTCAGTGTTGTTGATGATAGTGATGTACAAGACTCAAATGGCAGCCCAGGTTATTATCTTTTCCTTTACACCGTATACTTATATCTTCGTATTGAATTTTTTATGACCTTCCATTGCACATCGTAAAAACCGTGTCATTGGAGATTGAATTAATTGATCAAATCAAAACATACTCTGAGAAACAAAAAAATGATCAATTGATTTTCATATATATTTTTTTTCTTTCCCCTCATTTAATCATTAAATGTTTAATTTAGGTGCTCTGCCGGAAGGCCTTGTTCACGAGCTTCCAAGTGCAGATGAGTTTCATAAACCGCATGTTTCGGAGGGAACCACCTCAAATGCCGATGACCTTGAAGAACTGAAACGGCAGCTCGAAGCCCTCAATGCGGACTAGTTTTTTTATACATATATTTTTATATATATATTTTTTTCACTGTTAAATCTTGAAACCCAAGTTTTGTTGTCTGAGCACATTTAGAGAATGAATCCCTTTGTGGGGATTGAATATGCAGTGTATTTTATATACTCTGTGAATTGTGACAGACAATTTATAATTTCAAGAACTATAAAATATTACAGCCTTTTAACCTCTCGAACCTTTATTTGCCCTCTTTGTTTTATTTATTTTTTAATTTAGATCAAGTTGCAATTTGCAAACCTATGTTACCCGGACTCTTCTATTTAGAAAGAATACCCGTGTCATGTTGTGTCGACACTGGTGTGGGTATGAGTGGGTGTGGCATTTTAGCCTAAAATGTTCAAGATTTCTAAACTATTGACGACTCGGACGCTCATATCTCCACACCTGATACGCCACCCATATCCGAGTCCAGGTAGCATAGTTGCAAACCCATTTCTTAAAATTTATTTTTTCTTATACATATGCAAACCAAACCACACATGCTCTTACTGGAGAATTGATAACAACTCAACTGTACATAAAGCTAGACATTAGAAGCACTCTGAGCAAAGAGGCTACACGCTGTCAAAACTTTCCTAACTCAACCTTTTTTTTTCTTTTTCTTTTTTTTTTTTTTAAAAAAAAAAAAAAAAACTGTACAAGATGAAAGAGTTCTGTTCATGGTAGGTACTGTTGTAGGCATTGTTTCAAGCTTTGGAAAGTTATCGGCTTCGACACAAACGAGTCCATCCCATTTGCGTAGCATTCGTCTGCACTTTCCGACATCGCATTCGCTGTCATCTGCAGAATAAAACCATTATTAATCCAAAATAAGCTTCATTTCACAAGAAATTCATCCATAAATTTAGGGTTGAGCCAAATAACCTAATAACCAAAAAAAAAAAAAAAA